CCATGCAGCCACCGCGCAACCTCGTGCAGCCCCACGCAGCCCCCACGCAGCTCCATGCAGTCCTGCGCAGCTCCATGCAGCCCTCACGCAGCCCCACGCAGCCCCACGCAGCTCCATGCAGCCCCACGCAGCCCCCACGCAGCCCCACGCAGCCCCCACGCAGCCCCTCGCAGCCCCCGGCCACCTCGGGCTGCTCCCCGCCGAGCCCCACATGTCTCCAGCCCTGCAAGGGTGGGGGGTTCCTGTTCCTCCTAGGACCCCCCCAGTAAAGCTCCATCCCCATCCCGCAGGCTCCCAGCTCTCCATCCCGCTCTGCTTCCCACGGCGTCGCTGCCTGCGAGGACTCAGTCTCCTCTCACAGCCCTCAGGGTGCTCTGACACCCGTGGGGGCTTTCGGGGGTCCCCATCGCGACACGACGATCGGGTCCCTCCCCGGCTCCCTGCCCACAAGCAGCCACCAGCCCTGCGTAGAGAAGGGCCCCATGGAGAAGTCGCTGCCCGAGCGATTGGGCTGTGGCAGGAACAGATGTGCAGGGAGCGACGGCAGCGGGAAGTCGCTTGTTTTTCCAGGCAGCCGTCCCTGCCAAACTCCCCGGGATGAGGGCAACATTCACCTCCGCAACCCCAGCGCTGTGGCCAGGAGCAGCCACCCCGCTGGCACCTCTCGGAGCCGCGGGATACGCAGCAGGATGCCCATTTTGCCACTCTATTCCCAGGTATTGCCTTGCAGCTGTAACTTTTCCCTGCAGTAATGCCGTTCCCAGGGCATTCCCTGCCCTGGCTGCCCTCCAGAAGGCCGAGGACACGGCCTGGGCGGGTGGTTTTGGTTTGTGTGGCTGTGTTGACACAACATTATTACAGCCTGCTAGTTTGGAGGACAGAGTTCGCTGCTGCGTTTGGCAGCTCCGGGGCACCTGGATGTTGCTGGGAGGGATCAACTATCCGGCTTCTCGCTGGCACCTGCTGGGCTTGGTCTCTAGCAGTTCCAGGTGCAGACACTCCTAGAAACTGAGATTGCAAGTGCCTGGTCACGTTGCCAAACAAATGCAGTGTCTCAAATTAGTATCCGATTCTCCGATAGCAAATGACACATAGAGCGGGTGCCACTCAACGTCCCCATCATCAGGGCCAGGGTCCCATTGCCACCTGCAGCGGGATGTTATGTTAATTCCAAGTGGGAGCTCCCTGGGCACTCCAGGTGGGGCTTTGCAGGCTCTTGTGGAAGGCGCTTATGGAAAAATGGCTCCAGTGACGGCGGGTGCCCTGACTGCCGGCAGCATCCGCCCTCTCATGGAAAACGCTCCCCATTGCACACAACATTCCCACATTGCACACAACATTCCCTGCTGCACGACAGGAAGGGGGCAGAAACGTGACCGGCTGCCCCGCAGCAAAGCAACTCGCAGCCGATCAAACCCGGCACCTACATTAGGAACAAGATCCAGCACCATCCCGGGTTGTTTCACCTATATTTCCAGCTGTGCAATAAACCAGAGCCATCAGCTGAGCACTGGAGGATGTTGCTGCGGGAGGAGCAAAGAGCAGAGGAAAAAGGGCAATTTACGCCGCTTTCCCAGGGGGTGCTTCCTCCTGGGCAGGGGTAGGAGCATCCGCTGCGTTTTGGGGCCCAAAGGACCTCAGGGCCGAAGTGTCCCCCGCGCTTCGGAGGGCGCGCAGGGCAGAGTCACCTGGATGCGGAGGGCGCTGCATTYCCAGAGCCCGGATAGCTCAGTCGGTAGAGCATCAGACTTTTAATCTGAGGGTCCAGGGTTCAAGTCCCTGTTCGGGCGAAAGATCTTTTCCTTCTCGGGTGTTTTTTTATTTTTATTTATTTATTTTTTTTTATTTTATTCCTCCCATTTCTTTATTTACCGGGTGATTTTTCCCTCTTCCAAAGTTTCCACCCGCGGAAGGGTTTCCCGCCGCCCGTCCCGTGCGAGCGCTTTGACAACCCACGCAGGGAAGCAAATAAATAGAAAAATAAACCAGTGGAGCGCTGGGGAGCCCGGGAGAGGAAAAAGGGGACTAAAGGCGGAGTTTGAGAATAGAAAATGAAGGAGAAAACGGAAAAATTAGCCGCCCGAACAGGGACTTGAACCCTGGACCCTCAGATTAAAAGTCTGATGCTCTACCGACTGAGCTATCCGGGCTCCGTGGAAACAGCGCCGCGGCCGCGCTCAAAACGGTTCCGAGCCCGCTAAAATGCCGCGGGGAGAGGGCTGCGGGGCGCGGGGGGGGCACGGAGACTCTCCCGCCCCATGCCCTGGGGGGCGGGAAATGGGGCTTGCGGGGGGCACCAGCGCGCACCTAGGTGGGGGGGTAAGAGGGGGCTGCAGAGACTCGAATTGGGTCTGGGGGGGTTACAGGAGGTGGAGGGGGTGGGCGGGTAAATATKGGGGGGGGGGCGCAGGGGGGAGCGGCGCGGTCCTCCAGCGCGCGGGGCAGCCGCGTGCGGGGCGGCCCTTCCCGGGGCCGCCCTTCCCGCCGCGCTTCCGGCCGCGCTCGGTGGTGCCGGCCCGGGCGCGCCGCCGCCGCCGCCCGCCATGTTGCCTGCGAGGGGAAGCGGCGGCGGGGAGCCCCGCTAAGATGGTGGCCGGGAGCCCTCGGGGGGGGTAGGGGCCCGCGGGCCCCCCCTCCCCACCCAAACCTTCCGCCGGGGGCTGCGGGGCCCATGGAGCGGCTATAGGGTGAGCGGCCGCCGGGGGGGGGGCACCGGGTCACGCGTGTGCGTGGGGGACCCAGCGTTGCGACGGGGGCCACGGTAACACGGCAAAAAAATCGTTATTGCGATGGCCTCTGCGGCTGGGTATGGCTCCTGGTGGCCGCGGACATGAGGGGGAAAGAAAAAGCCCCCTTTGGAAATTGGCCTTGCGGTTTCCTTCCCACATTTTCCATTTTTAAGCCACTTTTTTTCCCCCTTGGCGGCTTGGTAGCCATGCCCAGAGCCGCCCTCGTTGCTGCCCGAGGCCTTCCCGCCCTTCCCTCTTAGCCGTTTTTTACCCGTTTTTGCCCTTTTTCAGGGGCCCTGCAGCGCGTGGCCCTCGTTCCTGCCCTGTTTTGCCCCAAAGGGAGATGTGACCAGCGGCTCTGCGTTATCCTGTCTTCCCAGCCCCACAGCTTTGCATTGAATCCATTAAATAATAAGTTAAATTATTTAAATACCATTTAAATTTAACAGCATTTCCATAACGCTGTGCGACCCGACTGCAAAATGTCTACAAAAAAAAATGTGTAAATGTGTGGGGTTTTTCCATGGAAAACTACCCTGCTGCAGAGCAAATACTTTGTAATATAAAAGTATATATGTATGATAAATCATTAAGTTATAAATGTATTTAAATTATAAATGTATTGATAATACTTAATATAACTTATATACTTTATAATTTAATATTTGACAAGACTTTGTAATACATACTTTATAATTTAATGATTTATCATACTTTAATATACTTGCATACTTCCATAATGTATTGATAATATGATACTTATATACTTTATATTCTTTGTAATTTAATATTTGACAAGACTTTATAGTACTTATACACATTATAATATATTTTAATGCTTTTCTATAATATATTTTAATACTTCAGCAGCTTGACTTAGGGCAGAAGCCCCTGCATGTTCAATAATTAGCAAAGCTGTTTTTCTAGTGAAGCATTCCACACTTAGAGTTGGTTTTCTTGAAGGTAAAATGGGGAAAAAGAGGTGTTTCTTGGCAGGGAGTTTTCCACTGATGCAAGAATGTGGTCAAGTCTCCACTTCAGTTTCATTCATCACCTGTTGGGAGGTACATTGCAGTGTATTGCTTAGCACTTACCTGAAAAAGAATGTATTTTAGACCGTTTCCTGCTTCTTGATTGAATTTGTACAGATAACACGACTGATTTGATACCTGGTAGGGATTTGACAGCACGAAACAGATCCCCTGTGGAAGCAGATCCCCAAAATAGCCCCATTTAATGGGGTTTAAATAAGAGGTGAATGAAAAGAATAGCTTTTCTGGTAGGGTGGGATGTGGATGTGATGACCCATCATGTCCTCTCTGATGGAGTTGATTTTGGAAGCTTTGCAGAGCTCCCATTTTGCATTGGTAGCATTGGTTTTGCTTTTCCTCCTGTTGAACTGGTTTGCAATAAGAGGGTTGCAGAACATTCGTGCTGGTTAGCTGTTAACATTGAGCAAAGGTTGGGTTATTTTGGTGCTTTTTTTGGAGATCTTTGCATTCTTTATGCCAGAAAAATCTGAATTTTTCTGTACAGCAGTTTCCCCAAAGGAACATTAAAAGGAGCGTTTCCACTCATAATTAAAAGTAGCAAGTATTAAATATTGTGTTGCAGTAGGCAGTTAATGAAAGGCTTCAATATAGTGACATGAGGCTGCTCCCTGGACACTTCCCCTAGCAGAAGGTATTTTAAATAAGTTAATGCCAAATCAATATCAAAGCACTGAATTTGAACACCTGCAAGCAGGAGAGCAAGACCCAAAGTCGAATTTCATGCTCTGCAACCTGCTTAACTCATGTAATTAACATCCCAGATATTTTTCCTTCCAAATCATCTAGATTTGCACCATCCCATGGAACAAAATTGTGACAAGGTGACTCTTCCCGGGCCAGTTCCCAACTTAGGGGTTTCCTTGGCTGGCACATCCCACCTTTTCAGGGAATGTGTATGAACTTGTTGGGAACACACTGATGTAATGGGGTGAAATTACAGCTCAGGGAAGGGTGATTAAAGCAGTGATGAGCAAGAGATGCAGACAGGGCATGGCTCACACACAGGAATAAATATTTCTTGGCTAAACCAGCTGAGATAACCAGGCAGAAGGACTTCCAGGCATGGGAACTTCCACAGGGACTCCCACTGATAGCAGCAGACCTCGTTAGCGACAGCTCAATTAAGCCCTACCTTCTCCAGCATCCAAAGCTGAGGCCTGGAGGGGTTTTAAGCTATTTGTCAAACAGAGGAATTTGGACTCCCCAAATTGGCAAGCTGCTTGATCCTGGGGTGGATGTGACCATATAAAGTGTTCAAAATGGAAGGGATTTTTATTTCATGACTTTTCTCGTGATTCACTATTTCCTCCGAGTCATTAGTCCAGTCCAGCTCCATTTTTAATGTGCAGTTTCAGAGGTGTAGAGTGGAGGAGCACCGAGTTCAACAGGGCTTTTTGTTGGCTACAAATGCAGCAGAAACGTAATTTAGGCACTGGCAGGGTTATAGCACCAAGTATTTGCTGTAAAATAAGTGGCAGGACCACAGTTGCAGGGAAAAACTGTGCAGAACCAATGGAACACGTAGGTTCGTACAGAAGGAGGAATTTCTGGGTCGCACTTTCCACTTTTGGCAACAACATAAGCTGCATCTACTGCCTTGGCAATGCCAGGGCATCATCAGTGGCTGTCTCCATAAATCCTAGGTGCATCTGCAGCCCAGATATGTTTGGATAGACAGCCTCAAGCAACCCCAAAGATCTTTACCAGTTAAAATAGGGTTCATATTAAAAGACAGAACTCAAACTTGACTAAAAATACACATTATTTGTACAGAACAGAGGTAGGATACTGGCTTGGCTGCCTGTTTCTGTAGTAGGAGCAGCACTGAAGAGGTTAAAATGATCCTTAATCTTGCTTTTCCACCTAGCAGAGATTCCCTTTCAGGAATGCAGGGTGGAGGGACAACCCTTGGCTTTCCCTCCTGCTTTATCTCTTGGGTTTTTTTCACACCAATTCAGCCTCTCCTTAAGAGCTGCTGTATTTAGGGCCTCCCTCTCACAAGGCGGGAAGTCCTCGGAGCAGGAAGAGCCCAGGCTGCTGCCAGCACCACAGACAGGAGCATTTTTTGAAAAGAAAAGTGACTCAGACTGCAGGGAGTAGCAGCAGCAGCACTTGGGAGCTGCTCTTAGCACAAGGACTCAACATCTCCTAGAAACCAGGAGCTAAAGGACTGCACAAGAACAGAGGAGACACCAAGACTGGTAATATTCATTCCAGGAAAAAAAATGGGGCTGTTCAAGGTCTAAAATTCAGTCTATCTTTAGGACAAAGTATGGGCTCTTGGGCAGGCTGCTGTAGTGTGTAGTGGTAGGAGGCAGGAGCTGGAATTGGAGTTTAATGCACTGATAGCATAGAAGCTTTTTGCAGTTAAGAGCAGCTTGCAAGGTAATAGTGATAGCAGCTAGATGTGGATAATTACTGAACTTGCATGTTCGATGTGCATTAAATGGGCTTTCCTTGTATTTAGAGATAGGTTTGGTATTTGGGGTGATTTGAGGGTGTAAGAAATGAATGAGAAGCCTCTCAGAATAGGTGTCTGTCACCTGTGAACAGGACAGTGAGAGGGACAGAGGTTGACTGAATTATCAGTTACTACTAACCAGATCTAAGCTAATTTTATAGCTCTGCTGCAGATATTCTGCCTCTGCTTTGCCTAAAACTGAAGTGTTTGCTTTTATTCTTCAGGTGGCTGATATTTTTTAACCCCCCCTATTAATTTTAGGCAGCTATTTTTTTCCCCTTTGTAACTTGTGGTTGCCTGAGCTAATTGTGCAGTGAGCATGAGTCATTACAACTCTGTTCTGCATTTGAAGCTCTTGTCTTTTGGGTGGATACTGCAACCACTCAAATAGCTGCAGGACTTCCCCTTTGTTCCTTTCCAGGAAAAGAGCCTTTCAGCTGCTCACACAGTTTGAAAACGGTTAATTTGTAGCCTGCATTTAGTGAGTTGGGGTGAGGGCTCCAGCAAGTCTTCACTTTTCAAAAGTAGGTGGGGATTGTGTTAATCATTGCTATCCACACTGGGCTGAGAAGCTCCTGGGCTTTCAGGTGGGTGCCCTTTGATCAAGATTTCTATTAAATTAATCATGAGTCAGGAACAAAGAATCACAAATATCAACATTTTAAGGGTTTGTCCTAGCCTGGTGGAGACTGGCAGGTCCCCAAGCGCCTCAGCCTGCAGTGAGGAGTGACAGGGTCTCCAGAAGCCCTGGCCCTGCCATCCTGTCCCCAAGCTGCTCTGCAGACCCCAAACAGGCAGATGCACCACGAACCACGAGCACATCAGCTTCCCCAAGCAGAGCAAGGAGGCCAGTCCGTGGTTTCTTCAGCAGTTTATTTTTAAATGCTGATTTCCTTCTAAGAAGTGGAAGTGGTTGCACTCAAAACTCCTTTATTTTTTCCTCCTCTCTGCAACTTAGCTGCTAATAAGCCTCCTCTTTTCTAGGTCTGTTCTGCAAACAGCTGATCACTGCCAAAATGACATCTTCAAGCCCAGCCCAGTATCCAGCAGCTGAGAACACCTGCAGACTCGCACTTGGACAAGTCAACCAGGTAGCCTGCCAGTGACCTTCAGTGCTTTGCTCTCCAACCCATTAATAAAACCAGACTTTGCCAAATCCTCTGAGGTAGGAGGTATTTCACTTGGTGGAACAAGGCTTCTGTTCTGACCTGAACTTTCCCTATTAATGCTTAATGAACATTTTCATGGAAGGAAAGGAGAAAAACAATTTAAGCAAGCTGAACAATACATTTTATAACACATATTTCCAAAATAGAGCCAAGCCTTACACTAGACTCGGGCATGAGCATTACATACAGCATTCCTCTTAATACAGGGCTGTGCAACAGATATTCTGGGGCCTTTTAAGCTTCTATTTTGAACTTGTAACACCTGCCTGTGCCTTTTGTGGCACCAGCTTGAGCACTGAACATGTAGTACTGTTCCTGGTAAGCTGGAGCTGAGAGCCAAGGCCATCCTGGCAGACAAGCAGTTCCGTGCATGGAAACATGGCCCTGGTGCAACATGTTTTGGACTAGATGGTCTCTAAAGGTCCCTTCCAACCCAAAGGATTCTGTGTTAACAGCCAGACATAGAGGAGATGTTTGCAGTGCAAAACAACAACTAGAGAAGTCTGAAAACAAGGTGGGTTTATTCAAAACTGACAGCCCATCTTCCAAAGTTGCTAATTTAAAAACAGCAACAGTATGAAGAAGAGGCATTGGAAAGGAAGATATTTGCATTTATCCAAATGAGAATAAACTGTATATGTATTACTACATTAAATACCAGCTGCAGGTACAAACATTTGGTTAAATTCTGCATTTTTTTCCTTCCTGCTGGAATAGCTGTTCTTGAGAAGCAGACTCACAGCTGGACATTTGTTCTAGTTGAACTTGAAAGCCCATCTAGCAGCCATAACAATAAGAAAGGATAAGAATAGATAAATTCCAAGGCAACAAATGGTTTATAGCACTCAAACAAGGGAACAGATACCTTGCCAAGATAACCCTGTGCTAGCTAAGCAGCAAACAGCAATGACACCAAATCCAAACCATGTCTCCTTACCTTCTACAGGAAAACCAGTGCTGCTTCAGGGGCAGTTTTAGGAGCTCTGAGCACACTCACTGCTTGGGAAGGAAATGAAGCTTTTAATTGCACTTATAAAGGCCAGGATGAGGGGTGTTTGCTGGACACAGCAGAACCCACTTAACACTGATGAGGGTGTTTGCAGGAGAAGGTAAACACATGTCTTGAGAGCAGCAAGGTGTCAAAGCCTAGTGGAAACAACCATCGTGTGGGGGGTACTGGCCTTTTTGTCATGTGAATAATTAAAATATCTTGTTTTAGGTTTTAGCAGGCCAAGGAGGGGGACAGGAAAAGGTTCAGGGTGGGAGGCGTACACATTAACACTCAGTATTTGTATGCAGCTGTAGTGTTTGCATGCAGTTGTGTAGGATTTCCATGCAGTTTTACAGCATACAGCTTCCTGGCAGAGCAGTGAAGGCTCCCTGACCTTCAGGAACACAAGGCATGGGGTGACACTGCCCTAGGGATACTTAAAAAGCCCTGGGGATACTTAAAAACGAGGTGGAGAAGTAGCTGGTAACAGCTCCTGTTTTATGTAGCATCAAGCTGTTGCATTTGCTGTTCACATTTGCCTGGGGGTGTGGGTGACAGCCAAGGGTGCTGGGTGCACTTGCATCCCTTCCATGATGCTTCGTGTTTCACATAGCATAGACTGGGTTTGGTGACCGAGATCCACAGAAAATAAACAGTTTCTGAGCCTTGTTAGTTAATCATAATTAGTTTTTCATGCTGTCTTATGTGTCCCTTCCCAAATCCTAATGAATACATACCCACCAAGGTCTGTACAGAGCAGATCTGACCTATTCACTGCACTGAGGAAATCCAGGCCTGCTGTCCCTGAAGTTATGATGTGAACACCCCATCATCTCTCTACTGGGTTAGTCACTGCCTAGGAATCCACAGCAAGGGGCTGAAATTCCAGCCTTCCCCCACATGATGGACAACATCTAAGTTAATGGGACAATGGGAGTGATTAAAGCATTTAGACCTGGCTGCCCAAGTTCCCTTTTTTTTTTTTTTTTT